CCAGTCCAGCGTCCGGTCGCTTCTGTGAGCTCGTTTCTTTATGATCTTGCATCCGGCTTGGTTTCTATCTTCGTCCTTGGACTTTGCTTGATATCTTGGGTCTTCTCTTGTGCTTCTAAGGTCTTGCTTATGGTGTTGATCATCGGATCATCATGTTGCCTTCGTCCAAGTCACGTCTTGTACCCTATTGGACTACAAAACAATCACTTGCAAATTCATTAGTCCAATTTGGTTGTGTTGGTCATCAAACACCAAAATCCAAAGTAAATGGGCCTAGGGTCTATTTTCCTTATAGCCTGGACGTGTGGGCGCGGTCACCGTCGCGCGGAGCCTTAGTGTCGGTGAGCTCGGCCGCACGCGCTACCGCGCTTGGCTGGCCTCGGCTGCCCTGTCCTGGATGCCTTAGCTCATTAGTGTGGGGCTGTTGCTGCTGTCGCTTGCAACGTCGGGCATGACACTACCTGCTCGCCGTGCTGCCCCGCCGTGCTGCCCCACTGCGTGGCCGCCCGTGCCATGGTGGAGCCACGCTGGCGTTGTTACCTCATCGTCGCAATTCGTGCACTGCTGCACTGCCTTCTCACTGCCACGCTGCGTTGCAGTCGCTCGCTTTCCCCCATGTGCACGTGGGATGCCTCGGCCACGCTCGCGCCGTCGCCTCGCCTTAATGGCGCTGCGGCCGCACAGGCCACGCATACCTGTCTGTCCCGCACACGCACGTGGTCCGGTCGTGTGTCGCGTAGCTTGGGCATAGGCGCAGCCGCATGTCCAGCCGACTGCTTGCTGCCAAGGCTAGCCGAGCGGTGCCCTACCGCACCATCTCTCTTCCTCTTCCTCTGTTCTCGCTGCCGCGTTGCGCACACGTGTGAGCCAGTAGGCGGTCACCTTTCAGCAATTACAGGTGCCTGCATTTTCGCCCTCCTGTCTTATCGCCAACCGAACCCGCATAGCAATAATGGCGGCCCAGCTAGGCGCCAATTTGGCGTTTTCCCTCCGGCATGCCGTTAAAGCCGCATCCTGGCCATGACCGAGGGTAGGCCTCAATTCCTCCACCCGCGTCCAATTGCTTGCGCCACTGCACTCGCACTACTTCCCTCCTCTCCCTGCACGCTTCCGTCGAACCGCTACCGCCCTCACTTCGCCGTTGACGTGTTCGTGCCACCGCAGAGCGCCGTCGGAAGGCACTGTCGCACATGACTAGCCCTGCTTGGGGCATCTACGGACAAACCATCTCCACATGCAGGCTTGTGGTGAGTCACTGTTACTCACCCACTGTCTCTACCATTTCCATAAGGCCGTAGCTCTCCGGAACATGGCTGCCACCGCCATAGGGTGCTCGTCGTCGTGGAGAGGCCATTCTACTGTGTCCCGGCTCGTCCAACGGCTGCCTGACGTTGCGTGTCATCCTATAGGTGGGGGTCGGTCTCCTAGGTGAGTCGAAGGGGCCCCCGGTTGCCCAGCGTGGCGGTCCCGTGCCAGCCGATGCCACGTCGGCGAGTGCGGGGGTGTTGGGGACTGGCCGGATGTAAAGATGATTAGGGGCGAGGGCCTTTTGGCAAAGGACCCGACTATTGGAATAGTGTGCATAAGAGCGGCGTTAATATTAGGAAGAGCAAGGGCGCTTTTGCAAAAGTGCCGCACACGGGCTCCCTTCCGTTGTGGGCCGGCCTGTGTGCGTGGGCCGCGCGTGCGCGCGCATGGGCCGCGTCCGCGTGGTGGTGGGCCGCGCGGGTGGAATTCATTTTTCCTTTTCTTAAGGAATTAGAAATAGCTTTATATTTTAATTTCTGAGCTAAATTTTGAAAATTAATATCAATTCACATAGGTGTCCAAAAATTATGAAATAAATTTTGTTGAGTTCTTAAAAATGTTGTCTATCTGATGGCATAGTTAGCTTATGCATGAGTGAGTTGATACTAAGGCCTATTAAATTAATTGCGAGTGTTTAGTATTATTTAGATTAGTATTTGTAGGAATTTTTGTGGCAAATTGGTAATAGCTTTGACCATGAAATTTTTACAGTAGGTTCACTGTATTATTATATGCTCACTATAATTTTTGTCGTCCTGGAATAGACCGAGAAATAAGGTAGTTAGGTGCTCCTTGTTTTAATATACATTAAATCGTTAATAAAAGAAGAAATGCATTTTAGTTGCTAAGATAATACTTCTGTTTAGTGGAAAGGATGATAGTTAGCTTAGTATCTTAGTCATTAGAGCTAGCTTAGTAGTTTACCATGTGTATTCTTATTTTAAGAGTTGTTGTTGTCAAAATGTTAAGTGTTGCATCATCATCGCACGCATGTAGAGAACGAGTTGGCAAAGATTGTGACCATCGAAGATCACGAGTTCAAGGAGGTGATCGAGGAGTACGAGGAGGAGATCCTCGTGCAGAAGGATGTCCTAGAGCCACCACTGACTGACTGAGCTGACACCCTACCTGACCAAGGCAAGTCCCGGTGCATAAGCCTTATTTTGAATGATCATTGGATATATATATGTGATGTGCATTTACGTTATAAGATTTATATTGAAACTACATGCATAGATAACCTACGTATGAGTTCTACTAGCTTAGGTCAAGTAGCTGCTAGGCTATCGGTAGCTTGAGTAACCTGTCGTTACTCACAATAGGTGATTATTATTATTACTCTCATGATAAAATGGTGAAAAGAAATGGAGACCAGACAGGGATATGGTACGGATATTGGTGGGTGTAAAAGGTTGTGTCCCGCGGCCAACGGGGCATGGCTTGGTTATACTATTTTCTCTGTTCGTGTCGGTTAAGGACCGGCCATTGCATTGGATTCTAGTCGGGTCACAGACTTATTATCCTGAGCACATACTTGATTATGGGAGCAGCAAGGCTTGTTGATCTCTTGTCGTGGGTTCCGGCTCTTTCCGGACTGACTGATTGGAGGCTGGAATGGTGGAGGTCTAAGCACCACACTGAGTCCGGGACTCAGGTGTGGGGGCTTAGAGTCCAAGTTTGGACGGGGACCTGGACCTCTTGACAGGACAGTGGTGGGTTGGTCATGCTTGTGCCTAGGGTACAAGCGGAACGTGTGTTTCGGGGTACCAAGCTGGGCTACATTAATTCGCGAATCACCGTGTAATACGGTACGACTTGTCTACGATCTAGCACCGTAGTAAGAACTGAAAGATAAAAGATGGTGAAAGAGATCTGATTGCTCAACTCTTGCTTGAAAGTAGAACATGTGCTTACATAGAATGGCTAGATAATGAATTAATCATGACTGCTAATAAGAACATCCATAAGGATTCACTACTAGTAAGGCTTTTCGCAAAAAGAAAACCCAGCAAACCATAAAGCTTATCATATTCTTTGAAGTCGGAAAGTTATTCCCACTAGTCGGGTAAGTCTTGCGAGTACATTGTGTACTCAGGGTTTATTTACCCCTGTTGTAGGTGCAGCTTGAGGAGTAGCTGTTGTGTGGATGATTCTTCTGGTGGGCACAGACGGATCCTTGTATCTTATCATTAGATGTTTATTGTAATTCCGCTGTTTAAATTCCGCACTCTGAATTTGGTATTGTAATAATGTATTTCTGAGAACCCTTGTTGGACTAAGTAATGTAAACTCGTTCTCATTATTGGATCCTGGAGAAAAAAACATGGATTATTCGAGTTCTCCTTTGGGGTGTACTCGACGGAACCATCCGATGTAGCCAGTTTTCGGGGTGCTCAGTGTCTAGTGGAAGACGAACACCTCCGAAAATATGTTATTCCGGACGGTTCTGCCACGGAATCTCTCCTCTTTATTCAATTCTATGTGGCGCCTTCAATCCGTTGACCGCATGCAATGGCTGGACACGTCACGTACCAATGCAAAGAATGTATGCCACATGCGAACGAGTTGACTAATAATAAGTTGACCTTTTAGGCATTGATCTATACGCTAAAGTTGCTTTCGAGTTTCTAAGCGTCGTCCTATGCATGCATTCACCGCACTCCAACATCAGAATATAGAGTATGTCGCATGCAGATACGTAGAACGACGGTTATTGCAAGCCAACAGCTGCTGGTCTATCAGCACACAGTCCGGTCCATTTATTGGTATAATAGTCGCGCAAATCTCTTACGCTAACGATGATGGCATGCATAGAAATTGCTAATCCATATTCATCAAAAAGAAGAAGAAAGGAAATGACGATCGACCTGGTAGCTAAGTATGCATATAGTAATTATATATTGAGCACGTCAATTATATTTAGTTTGTGATTTGTGATCAGTGAGTAATATATATACCCATATATAATACTCCCTCCGTCTTATATTTCAGACAGGGAAATATGATATAAACTAGATTCTGATCATTAATTTCTTTCACAATATGTTGTCATTTGTTAAAGAACCAATATCATTTCAAAAAAGACACTACTCTGAATATAAATCTTATATCCTAAACTTGTTTATAATTTGATTGACTAATTATTGTTGATAAAAAAATTTGTAAAACTTGAATTTTTTCATATAAAATATATTTATCATTATGGGACGGAGGGAGTACATACTATGAGTATTTTTTTTATCTTCGGATCAGAGAAGATGGCAAAGAATCAAACAAAAAGTACAACTAGTTTGTATGTATATATCTACCTCTGTAATAATTAGGTACATAGCACACGGACCCAAAAAAAATGAAACATATATAAACACATCACAATACATATAATCAATTTATTCATATACGTACCGTCAATTATGACCACTTGTAACAACCCGAACACAAGGAGTACTAGATAAGTTGGATAATTTTGTCCCAACCCTTTTTTTCTTCTGTAATAATATATATGTGGTGTACATGCGCGCGGCCAGCATATATATACTATAATAATAATTAATATAGCAGGAGCTCAACAATATATATAATCGAAATGTTTTGTTTTTTGAACAACGTAACAATGGGAATTTAAACGTACTGCCATTTTTATTTCTGTCGTTGGATGATGCAGAAACTGCGTGTCCTGTCTCTTTCACGCATCACGCCGCGTAGTCGCAGTAGCCGTTGGTGCAATTGGTTCTGCACTTGACGCCGCAGCCGCCGCAGTTCTTCTCGTCGGTGAAGGTGTTGACACACTTGCCCTGGCAGCAGGTCTGCGTGTACTTGCACGTCTTGTTGCAGTTGCCGCAGTGCTTGAAGCTATACTCGGTGTCGACGCATGTGCCCTGGCAGCACGTCGCGCCGGGGCTTCCGGACGAGAGGCAGATGGATGGCGACTTCTTGCAGTCGTAGAGCGACGGCGGCGGCGGGAAGTTGACGTTGGCAAGGAAGCGACTTCTCCTGAGGGGAAGATCAGGCGGCGGCGTCGCCACCACCGTTTGCTCAAGGGGGATGAGGGCAAGGGCGAGCGCCATGAGAAAGATGGTGGAATTTCTCATGGCGGCCGCGCGGGTGGAGGGGGGCCGGCGGTACGTTGGCGAGGCTGCACCGTACCAGCTGCAATGCGTCTATGTGCCTCGGCAGGTGCCTATTATGATGGTTCTATCGGAGGAATTGAAGGGAATGACGAAATGGGGGTTGGTTAGTTCAGTTGACGGAGGATGGAGGCGAGGAGCTAGCGATCGAGTGCTTAGACCGTCTCCAAAGAGAAGACTTAGGCACCCAAATTGAAAATAGGTAACTGACAACTAAAATCAGCCTTCAATAGATTACATATACGGGAGACCTATTTTGGGTTGTCTAATAGACACAATCAAATATGAGCATCCTCCTTCCTAGAAATCCATTTGTAGAAAGAATTTTCTTTTAGGTCATGTTGTTGAAGAAGATGCCAAATAAATATTGAACCAATTGACTGTAGCGATATCCAAGATTAAATAGGTTAGCGATACCCGATATTAAATAGGTCTGGTATCTTAGACGTTGACGTCGGAGATAGTTTGTATACTAAAAGTCAGGCAGGCATGCATGCCCGCAGTGCGGCGGTGTGTACTGTATGATAGGGGCCGGTGCGGTGCCCGGGGCCGCGGCGAGAGTCAGAGCACGCACGCATGCAATTGCAATGGTTGATTTGCACGGCAAAAGCCTGGAGTGCAGGGCGGGAGTGTGCGGAGCAAGGCTGTGGTGGGCTACTGCTGCAAGCTAGCTGAAACCCACGTACATTGCTAGCTGGAACCCAATATTATATTATATTATATTATATAATAAGCCTTCGTTCCTTGATATACTTTGCAACTAACGGTAACCCGGCCCCTAGCTAGGATACGTAGCTACGCTTCCGAGTACGATCAAATAAAGGGAGATTACGATTATATTATTACTATACACTCGTATATCATATATAATACTAATATGCTAATAATGACTGATCGCACCCTGAAGATTGGAGAGCCTTTATTTATTTGCTAACATAGATACGCCATACGGACGGGAACGAGTATTCACTGTGACTACTGACTACACATACGGTAACAGTGCCGGCACTTTTAGTAGGTAAAGTAAAGAGTGATTCTGCGCGCGCCTTGCGAACACAAGGTTCCCTGTGGTTCGATTTGTGATGAGTGATTGTTAATGTGATTTACGATCTAGATTGAGTGTGTGACCTAACCACGACGTGAGTTGGGTTGTGCGACATGTCTCTTGCCTTATGGTGCGCATGTGTGGAGCTCGAAGGCAGTGGTCGACGGCGAGGTGAAGGTCAAGTAGGGACGTGCCGTGCCGATGGACCGGGAGCGGTGAAGGACAAACATGAGGCTTTGGACCGAGGGACCAGGAGGCCGGGTGGCTAGCCGTGGTGGCTGACATCTGGGGACATCAACAAGCGTAAGTGTACATGGGAGTGACCGTGTTGATCGAGTTAAGACGGCGGACGTACGGGTCGAGCGAGGCTCAGGAGGACTTGGCGGCCGGCCGGTCGAGGACGGCGGTGACACGCGTCGAGCGGCGGGGGATGCGTATGGAGTACGCTACTCGCGGACGGTTTATGGGTTTGGGCCTCAAAACCCGGGCGGAGGTTCCTAGGAGAAACGGGGCGGCACGTGGCGGAATCACAGAGGTTGCGTCGAGGCGAAGCAAATCTTTGCAGGAAGCGGGGCCGTCCGATCGACTGGAAAATAGTTGGACCATAGCTCCCTCGGGTCAAGTGGTTCGACTCAAAACACTTAAGAGCAAAACTGAAATTGTGTAACTCATCTCCCTCACCTCTTTTATTTTTTCCTTTCTCTCTTCTTAGTTTCCCCCTCCTCTTAGGGTTCTTGTGAGAGAGGTCCACAAATTGAGAGATTTGTGTAAGAACTCAAGATTTTGCTCGGGAATGGTGGCCCTTACCACCTCGTGTCCTCCGAGATTCGGTTTGTGACTTGTGTTCTTCGTGTTCTCTGTGAGTTCATTTTCTCCCCTCTCGTTCTTGCACCTATTTGTCGTTTTGAGACCATTTTGATCCGTTCTTTTTGCATTGGTGTGATCAATGACGTGAGTTGAGCCTTTTCACCGAAGGAATTCAATCAATTCCTAACGAGATCGTAGATCGGGACGAATCATGGTCTAGGGTTTCTTTTTCGGTGTTTTTCATTCTCCTTCGATTTCCCATTGATTGGGTTCAAATTGAGCGATGCCCTCTTAGAGGTAGCTCCCCTACTGCCTTGTGATCATGTATACCAAGTTTGGTGGCAGCTGGTGTTGATTTGGCCGTAAATCGGGTGAATCAAGGAGAGGGCAATTTTTGGTTCGTTGTTTTCGCCTCTGTTCATGAGTCCCGGACAGTCCGCGCTTCATCCGCAGACAGATCCATGAGTCGAGGCCGAGCAACAGGGAGCTTCTGCTCTCTGCTTTCGGAGTTTAGGTTGCGAACAGTCCACTTCGCCAGGTGTCGCGGACAGTCCGCCACTCGTTGTGAAGTCGAGTCGAAACCTATTTTCTCGGTTGTGTTTACGGAGTTTGAACTGCGGACAGTCCATGAGCCATGGGAGATAGGTCCATCGTTCATTCTCACCGAGTCCGAACTATTTCTCGTTGTTCTGCTTTTTAGGAGTTGTACTTTGGACAGTCCAACCTTAAACCCCAGATAGTCCAGGACCTGATCCATGGACGGTCCGGCTCCCCTACGATGGACGAGTCCGGGATATCTGCAGAGCGTGCTGTTTTCACTCGTTCTTTCGGGGGCTTGGTTTGCTTCTTCTCTGGTTGATTCGATGTACTTCTAGGACATCTCTTAGGGTATCCACCCACCTGTTGGGTTGTGATCTAACCGCTCTCAGGTGTGTTGGCTTTTGGGTCGTGATTTTGGGACAGCGGCTTAAAGTTTCAAAAGAAATTTAAGGCTCCCATTCACCCCAACTCTCTGGTCGCCGTTTCCGGTCCTTCAATTGGTATTGGAGCAGGTTAAGGATCATTCCACCTTAATCGGTCCGTGATCCATGAAGGCGATATAGAGCGTGGTTCTGGCAAACCACTGTTCTTCGATGATAAAAACTATCCGTATTAGAAGATCCGCATGTCCGCATATCTTTAGGGGATCGATTGGCTTGTTTGGGAGATTTGCGAGGATACTACTTACGTTGTGCTTGAACCTCATGCCCGTACCACTCAAGAACAAAGGGATCTGCACAACGCAAATAGTAGAGCTCGTAGTGTTCTTTTCTCGAGTCTTTCTCTTTTGGAGTTCGAGAGAGTCTCCGATTGTGCGACTGTTCGGGAGATCTGGGTGAGGCTTCAGAGCTATCATGAAGGAACCATTGAGGTCAAAACCAAACTCTTTGAGATGTACAAGCATGAGTATGAGAACTTCTCTCAGTTGGACGGCGAGTCCATCGATGCCATGTTTTCTCGCTTTCAGACTATTGTTAACAAGATGCGAGCAAACAAGGCGCAACTACCTTATGATGATCATGAGAGGGCACTCAAGCTTCTATATGCCCTAAATTGGAAGGTGTGGGATGTGAAGGTGTCCGCTATCATCGAGCCCGCAAACTATGACACTCTCATGGTGGATGAGCTATTCAGCAAGCTCAAGTCCACGGAGATCGACTACCAGACCCAGGCCAAGATCAAGAACCCTTCAGCACCGACGATGGCTTTGGTCTCAGATAACGGCTTAAGTTCTTCAAGTAACCCTTCATAGATGTCGTTTGCCTTGTCTTCCTTGGTGTCTGTCACAGAGAAGCAGCTGGAGGTCCTCGAGGACGACGAGGTGGCGCTCGTCATCAGCCGGTTTTCATAGTTTCACAACAACCGTTTGAATCGCTAGCGCGGTGGTGGTCCGAAGGAGGGATGCTATGGCTGTGGAGATCCCGACCACTTCATCGCCCATTGCCCCAAGAAGAACAAGAACTCCTATGGCAAGTTTGACTTCAACAGGCGCAAGGACAAGCACGAGTACACCTCCGGCAAGCACAAGTCGAAGGGAGGCTTTAACAAGGAGGCGCTCAAGAAGATGTACCTCAAGAAGGCCAAGGCCTAGGAGCGCGCTTTCCTCACTTCCCTCAGCAACCTCGACAATGACACCGACGACTGTTGGTAATTATTAATGTCACTTGTTTTTACTAGTCACCTATTACTTACCTACATCTCTAGCTTATTATACCAGGTTGTCATCCCCAGTGTTGAAACTAAAAGTGTTGCTTAGCATTACTAAGCAATTATCTACTCATGTGACTAAAAAGAATATAAAGATATAAAATAAAGAATCCGCAAGCGCACAGATAATTATACAATTGTAGCATTTTACCCAAGAGTATTCCGGGGTGTCGAATTTATATTTTTACCACAGGAAGGAGGTATGGAGTTGGCTAGAGTTGATGAACACAAATACACTACTTATGATGAAATCAATCACATAGCACATACTCTAACAGGGGTGAGCCAATGATAATATATATATATATATATATATATATGTGTGTGTGTGTGTGTGTGTGTGTGTGTGTGTGTGATAAACAAAGGCTTTGATAATTCCAGAGATAGAAATAGACTACTCATTGTTAAAGTAAGACTGGACAGGAGATTAGTTAAGAGATTGAATTCTTATGTCATTCCTTATTTACTAAGTCTTTCATATACCCTAGCACATATACAATCATGTATAGCATAATGACTCTTTATCTATACATAAGGAACATTACTAAGGAAAATCAAGAACAGAGCAAGATCTCCTTCGTAACCAGGTTCTACTAGTTCTACATACGGGGAGTGGACTACAAAGGACTCAACGGGAGTGTCACATCCGCGATCTATCACATGACCCAACATATAGAGTGCATCCGCAGACAAACAATATCTAAGCACCACGCCTACATAATGTCGACCACTTAACTCACTCAAGTACTGAATTAAGCGCTTTGCGATCTTATGCATAAACTCATTATCAATCATGACTATATCAAATATACTACTAGAGTAAACTAGGAACATAATAAATAGAAAACATAGTATTGAAATAGAA